ACTCATAGGTCAGCACTAAAGACTAAAAGCCTTAACTGGCTAAGTCTAAAAAAACTTTCAACACACGGCCTACTGAAGCTCTCGAGTGGGCAAACCTCCCACTAGAGATGAAATAAAACCCTAGGAATAATTTATATGGCAATACAATGTTTGCCGGGTCAGCTAGTTTATTTTATAAAAGTATACAAAGTGCATATAAAGATATTTGCACCTTGTGAGTTTGATAATGTTGGTGTATTCGAGTAGTGACTAGACATAATTATTCGCTTTTTGCATTGAATACTCGAATTATTCGAGATTGATTCCGAGCCCTACTCCTTCCTCAAATAGCACTAAAGGTAAATGTTGAAACTGCGCACCATTCACCGGGGCCTGAGCTGCCAGATTCGCGCCTACGTAGATATGGCGTTATCACTAGACGCACACACTGTTCACAAATCGTGCTGAGCACCGAATACGGACTATAGAAGAGTAAAGTCCTACCCGTTCCTAAAAACGTCATGTGTTTACAATGAAAATTCGCTACTCTGTCTTTTCTAATTACTTTTAAAAAAGATTTTTCTTTTTTATTTGCATTCGATGTTTGTAAACCATAAATTTTCTGATATTCTGAATTAATTTCTAATAAATAAATCCTATGTTGTGCCGTTTCGCTTCTGATGAATATGTATTCGGCGATTATGTTTTGGCTGGCATCTGGGAAAAGTCAACTGGACGGCTAGAACCTGTGGCTAGAACTAGAAGTGTCAAACAATAATAATTTAATTTATATTTATCATAAAAAATGCATTGCGTATTGATTTTTTAAATAAATGCATTTTTTGTTATTAAATGTTTAACGTTTCAGTAATTCGAATAAGAAACAGGATGACGAGATTGTGACTTAGTAGTTTTAAGGGGTTACGTTATCATTCAGTCTTGAGGTGAGTTTAAAATCAATATTACCCTTTAATTAGATTGGAAATATTGTAGCATTAATAAATTAAGCCTCATTTATGTTGACTTCAGTGGTAATTCTTCATTTATCATATTACTCCAACGTAGCGTTCATTTATTTCAATTGACTTAAATCACGATTAAAATAGTTATTGATATCGCTTGAATGTTGTATTGTTAGTTGTAACTCTTTTTTCACAATTTTGCTTCCAAATCGGAGCAAATAACCCGATAAAAAATATTCACACAGATCATAATCTGCTTTTGTGAACGCAGAACGGATCTTTTTTTAGTTAAATTTATCAAGCTTTCGTGTTTCAAGTTAAGAATAGATAATGCCTTTATCAACAACTTACCTTAGTGGAGTTTCTTGTGAAAATTAAGTACATAACAACAGTATGTAGTATGTAGTAACAACATTCCTAAATGTGATTTATATATACAGTTAAGTCCGGATAGAACGAACTTGAAAAATGAACTAAAGACAAAAGACATTATTTATTTTAGAAAAAAACGATCCCATTTTCTTTATTTATCCCGTTTAATTTTTTATATAGTTTTGCTTATGTTTTAAACTGCCATTATTCTTCGAAAAAAAGATGTTGTCGAATAAACCAGGTAGAAATCTACCTGAACTTGAAATCTATTTAGTAAAACTTCCTAATTTTTGTTTAATGAAGCATGATTACACTCTTTATTTTGATCGTGAATATTGTGAAACCTTGAAATTAGAAACGTCGATGATAAAGTGATAAAAAGGCATGTAAATACCGTTTTCAATGAATAAGAAAATAGACAAAAAAATGTAAAGAAATCTTTCGCAGCAGTCCAAATTTTGTTGTGTAAATCGTTTATAATTAATATTATATAGTAGTATATATAAAATGGATAATAAGTATGAAATGTGTCGAGAGATGCTAATTTAATCTAAAAAATCAAGCAAGGGAAAAAACGATGTAAAATTTAATCGTTTTAAACCGCAAAAAAATATTCAAATCACTCATACAAGTTTTTCAGCTATAACACCTCATTTTATAAGAAAAGCGTACTCTATATCTCTGAATTAAAGCATTTGCGTACTCATGTTCATGCACATTTTAGAGTTAACACTTTCGTTCATTGATCTTTGGACAAATGTATAATCTAGATCAACAGTTATTTTTAGGTCTTATTTGTTTCATTAATTCTTTGGTTGCGTGCAAATTTCTAGATATGATGAGAGGCGATACTGAGTGTTCATATAATGCTCAATTTCAACAAGTTTTTATCAAGACCGAATTTGAATCGTCGCAAGGATCATCTAGTTCTTTAATATCAATTGAAAGCACTAAACTACTAAAAGATTCCTCAACACTCATTAGACGCAATGTCGAAGAAAGTGCTACTGAATCATTGTCATGTGGTTAGTATGTACCAAGTGTTTAGTGTATTTACTTATGCAAAAATAAATGTTGCATATTCAATGAAATGCCATGTAATACTTTAATTGTTTTATTAGAGACGCCCAAGACTGAAATCGCAGAATTAAAAAGCGAACCAGCCGACGAGTTCATCGAGGAAGAGACGCAAGAGGAATTGTGCAGTGAAGATCAAGATGATATTGAATACCAGAAACGATTAATAATTGAAAATGAAACAACTGTATACAGATGCCAAGATTGCAATGAAGTATTCCAGAAATTTCATCAGTATAAATTCCATAGAGCTCAGCACTCGATTGAAAGAAGAACCTGTAAAATTTGCCACTTATTATGCCAAGGAGTTACCAAGGTGTACAGAACGTTACAACTAACTGTTCCAAATTGCTAATAAGAATGGATGTTTTAGTTGAATGAACACATGTTTGTTCACACTGGCGAGAAACCTTTTAAATGTGATAAATGCAAGAAAGGTTTTACATCAGCGAATACTTTAAAATGTCACATGGAATGTCATCGATTGGAGTTTAACTTTAAATGTGAAACATGTGGGAAAACGTTCAAAACTAAACGATCATTGAGAGGCCACATGGATACCCATGCTAAGAAAGTGAAAGATTTTACTTGCATGGTAAGACCGTTATTTGTATTTTTATTACCTAATTTTTAAATTTTAATGATATTTTACATTCAGTTGGAAAATTTAAAGGGTAGAATAGCATTTCTTCTAGTTTTGCAAAGAAGAGTTTCAAGTGGCCTCGGAATACCGACGGCATATTCTCCAACATGGTGCCCAGCCACCAGAACCCAAATGCAACATTTGCCACAAGGTGATCAAATTGAAAATATAAAAAATACACTACAGTTTATTATTTTTTAGGTTTTTAAGTATCATACTCAACTTCGAACCCATCTGTCTTCTCATACGGAACTAAGATTTCCATGTCAGTACTGCAATAAAATATTCTCCACGATGACCAAAATTAGGAAGCATATCAATCGAAGTCATGTGATAAATGAGTGCGAATTCTGCAAGAAAGTGTATTATGATAAGGCGGAATTTACTAAGCATAAAAAAACTGAACATGTGGAAGGTAATTTTCCAGATTATACAGAGTGTCCCGCCGGGAACCGCCGCGATCGATATCTGGCAAACTGTAATTAGGAGAAATTTGAAAATTGGACAGTGTGCCGAAGTCATTGGGGGCAAGCGTTCTAAAACATTTTCAAGATGGCCGCACTTTCGATTATACCGGAAGTAGATATCAACTTGCGTATTTTAAATCGAACACCTATTAATTATTACATTTTTGAATTCTACTCCAAAGTCTAAATTTAATTCGTGGATAATATCAGACGCCTATGTCGAACCGTTTTTTATATATTTGAAATTTTATCTAAACAATTACAGATGCAGCGACTCGAATAATTATTCATTTTTCTTATTAGGGAATATGTGCTACTTAGTTTGAGTCACATTTCTTGTTGAAGAGGACCTACTTTAATGGAATTGCAACAACATTTTGTTAAATATTAATACAAAGTGCTAAGAAGATAAGTTGAGAAAACCGCCCAAAATCAATTTTTTTTAATGGAAAACCTATTTTTGATAATTTTATCTTATCCAGTATTAAAAATAAGGCCTAGTTTATGTAAAGTTGTCTATTCCAAAAGTGTTTAGTTTTCGAAATATTGTCAATTTAGTGATTTCATATGGCTATTTTTTATTTTAAATACTGTCACTCTTAGTTGCCATGACGAAAGTGGGCATTTTAATACAATCAAATGCCAAAGAAATACTTCTATCCTTTGACATCTTCATATCATATTGTAACGGAAATGGCCTGGGGTACTCACGTTTGAAATGGAGGGATCAAAATTCGTAGGATTTCAGTAAATGGGAGGCCCATTTGCGCTCCATTTACTGTCAAATATAACACTGACAAGCGGGAAGTTTCGCACCGGTTCTGGAGATTTCGAGAACCATCTGGGTTACCTGAAGGAGTCTATATAAGCGGCGAGGAGAACCAGACAAGAGAGTAAAGTGCCAGAAGCGACCGGGTGCAGAAGAGGTTAAACCCCGCGAGTCGGAAACGCGTGTTTTCCGTGTGTTATTGTTATCGTTTGTGAAGTTGGCGGTAATTTTGAAGTTAGTTTGTTCCCGTTCCGCATTTAAAGTTATACCGAGTGGAATAAAAGTTGGAAGCTGAAGAAAGAGTTTGATACCCGGCCATCCACGGTACAATATCATATCATCTTAATCATGCCCAGCCGCTTTAGCCACCAAAAGCCACCAAATAAGAGGTACACGTGGAAGAGCCCAGATTCTCAAACCGAAAACGAGATCGACTATATATTGTCACAAACGTGGAGGTTCTAAACGAATTATATAAATAAATACCAAGGCAGAAAGAAACAAGCTCATAAAACAACACGTCTTCCCCACAAAAGAACAGCTAGGAAAGAATATCGACAAATACCAAGCTGAATTGTGAAGGAAGCTGACAAACAAGAACGATGATCTGAAAAACATGGATATATATACACCCCGGACAACAAATTAAAATGCGGTACAGAAGTACAGCAACAAAGAAGATGTGCTCGAAAACGAATCGTTCAAAGATGATGATCAAACGCAAAAGCATGTGTCCAGACTCCCCAGAATACGCAGAGCTCAACAAAAAGATTAGGAGCTATAACACAGAACTTATACGGTCAACGATTGAAAACAACGCGACCATGAAATGCTTAAGAAACCAAATGGAAATTAGGATACATAAACTGATGAACACAGACAGCAATCTGAAAGAAGAGAAGACCGAGATTACTAAAACCGTCCAAGATTTTTACGATAAACTATACTCCTCTAACAAACCACAACCACAAAACACATTATGATAACATCAGCATAATGAACGTCGGGTCAGAAGAAGAATTCCGGATATCACCACGTGCGAATTACAGGGTGTCTCGTAAGCTCATGATCAAAAGGGTACTGCGAGATTTTTTGGACCAAAAGAAGATGATTTGACCTAACTTTTATTAACAAAAAAAGTCTGGCTCCTCTGCTATTGATGGTCAAAGTTCTTGTTCTTCTTAACATTGTTAAGTTGCAAGGAAGCAAAATTTTTTTTTTCGCAAAAGCTATGAGTGCCACAAGATTTTACAAAGAGCACAATATTGTGAATAAATGATTAGTGCATCAACCTAAAAAAATGAGTTGATTTCATCCTCCAGCTAAAAAGTTCTGGTAGTTTTTGTACCACGACACTCAAAAATTCACCACTTGTCCAAAACGGCTGAACTCGATTGTTTCATCAAAATATGAGTCTTACATAAGAACAAATTCACAACGAGTTTCACTAAAATACATCGTACGAGTCTCCCGATATTTCAAAAAAGATAATTTTTTTGAAGAACTTTGACCATCAATAGCAGAGGGGCCAGACATTTTTTGTTAATATAAGTGAGGTCAGATCGTCTTCTTTTGGTCCAAAGAATATCGCAGTACCCTTTTGATCATGAGCTTACGGGACACCCTGTCTAACACGCCCCCTATTCCAACTCAAGAACGGACTCTCCGGTGTAGACAGAATCAATACAGACGGGATAAAACTAGGAGGTGTAGCCACACTAGAATCAATAAAAATATAATTAAATAAATGGCTTTCCGAAGCCAAAGTGTCAGGAACTTGGAAAAACTCCGTTGTTGTCCTAGTATACTAAAAAGGGTACACACTCAAAATCGACAACTATCGACCTATAAGTCTACTACCACATCCTTATAAACTATTAACCAAAATAATTACTAATCGACTCATAAATAAATTTGACGACTGCCAACTCCCCAAGCAAGATGGATTTTGCAAAGGATACAGTACTGTAGAACAAATTCAAACTGTGAGGACACTAATAGAAAATTCAGCAAATATAACGAACCACTCCACCGAGCCTTCGTAGACTACAACAAAACCTTCGACTCTATCGAGCTGTAGGCTATCTTCAATACAATGAATAAAGCCAGAATAGACAGCAAATACTGAAAGCTCTTAAAATATATTTACGACAATGCTACCATTCAGGTCAAAATTTCAGACAGACCCCATGACAGATAAAATACCTATGGAAAAAAGGAGTGCGACAAGGTGACATAATTTCACCTAAACTATTTACTCTCGCTATGGAATATCTCTTCAAGGATCTGAACTGGGAAGAAAAAGGCATCATCATCGACGACCGGTATCCGATTCGCGGACCACATTGTCTTAATCAGCAATGACACGGAAGAAATCCAACAGTTGTTACTCGAAATAAACACAACATCAGAAGAAAGAGGCTTTACAATGAATATCACGAAAACCAAGATCATGATTTCGGAGGATACCACATTCAGGTATAGGAAGGTACAGGAAGGTGGACGAATATATCTATTTAGGACACACTATAAAATTGGGCAGAGAACCAAACCGCGAAAATACATAGATAGACGAATTTGAATGACGTGGGCGGCTACCGGAAAACTAAGCTATATCTTAAAAAGCCCCAAAATTTCCACAAAATTAAAGACAAAAGCTTTCAATACCTGTATCCTCCCGTTGATGGCCTACGGAATGGAAACAATGTCAATGACCATTACATCAGCTAACAGTCTCAGAACGACTCAACGAGCGATTGAACGCATATTATTAGATGTCAGTCGGTGCGACAAAATCAGAAACCAGGAAATCGGACTACGAACCCGAACTGAAGACGTCATAAAGACTATCACTAAAGCAAAATTGAACTGGGTAGGCCACGTCGCCAGACAAGATGGAACGCGATGAAAAAAAAACAAGTCGTACAATGCAGACCAAGAGCAAACAGGAGGAGCTTCGGCAGGCCACAACTAAGATGGTGAGATGGAGACATTACCGAAAAAGTGGGGAAATGGCAACAGGTGGTCCAAAACAGTGAAGAGGGGAGTTCTACGTGCAGGAGTGGACAGTTAGGGGCTATTAAGGAGAAAAGAAGTTGATACCTACTTTTGGTCAACCGAAAGTGAGGACATCTTGGAAGTCTTTTAGATCGCTTGCCCCCAATGACTTCGGCACTATCCAATTTTCAAATTTGTCCTAATTACAGTTTGCCGGATATCGATCGCGGCGATTCCAGGTGGTACACCCTGTATAGATATAATAGATGCACTGTGTCTAGTGTAGTTGTTTTATACTTTGCTTTCAGTTCAATTTTAATTTTTTTTTGTTTCGTAGATTTTCAGTTTGACCGATATAAATTCTGGACCTAGAACTTTCATGATTCTGGCCAGTAAGGTAAAGTTTTAAACCTGATTATTAAAGGTGATGGAGTCTCTAACATAATATAGGTTTCCCTGCTAAACTTGCGAGCTAACAAATGTCCTAATTTTTCCATTTCCTATTTAATTCCCAACTTACTTTGTTTCAACAATTGATCTTTTTCTTGGCACAGTCAGAATGACAATGATTTTCGTATAGTTTTTGGTTCATTTAGTCACTTTTTTAGGCATGTGTTTGGTGAAATTTTGATGATGAAATTGAAACTCTAAGATGAAAATAGCTTAATGCTATTGTTGAAATAACACTAATGTTATTTTATAAAAAATGGCTGTTGACAATTACTGTTAGTAATATCCATTGTAGAAAAACCGACAACTTGTGAGTTTTGCCATAAAGTCTACGACAAACCGAAAAATTTGCAAGAGCACATTCGTGTTCAGCACACTAAAGACGGAATGGAGAATAAATGCGAAACATGCGAGAAAACGTTCATCAACCGGTTCTTGCTGAACAACCATATCAAAACACATTACAAATGTTTCAAGTGTTCCAGTTGCAACATGACATTTGCATCGAGGTGAATTATGTTCGCAAGTCGTATTTGTAATAAAATTTAAAAAAATTCTTCCCAGATATAATCTACAACTTCATTCAGTAACTCATACCAATGAAAGAAAGTACAAGTGTTTGATATGCTCTAAAAGCTACTCGTCCAAAGTTAGTTTGCAAAATCATACCACTAGTCACTTTGATGAGCGACCATTTGGATGCACTCAATGTGGAAAGTACTTTAAAAATAACAGGTAACATTGAATTATACGATTACATAGTTGCACGAACTGATCTATTTGGATCATTGAATAGGAGACTCTACGTCCATAAAATGTCCCACGAAACGAAACTGAAATTTGAATGTTTTACTTGCGGCAGAAAATTCAAAACTAAGCAGTATTTGAAGTCACATTTATACAAACACGACAAAGGTAAACCGTACATTTTTTTGGACGTTTTTAAACATCTTCATTTTATTGTTGTTTTTAGTTCAGCCCTTTAACTGTCCAAATTGTACCAAGCGATTTAAACACAAGAAAACCCTGGACAAACATATGTTAAAGCAGCATCGCCTACGAAAAAGTGCTGGCAAAGTATCAGATTCTCAGAATAAAAATAAAGTCTTGGCAGACGTTGAATCTGAAGACGAGGATATGGAATCCACTGATGATTCGACAAGCGAAAACGGTGCAAATAAATCAAACAGCGAAAATGGCTCAGAAGTGACTAATACGGGAGATTATCATTTGGATTACCGAGACGGTAAGATGAGGACTACCGGACTAAATAAATCAACTAAGGTTTTAATTATTTCAGATATTTTTGAGAACAACGCAGAGTTTTCCAAATCCGACGATCTGGACTTGTCTAACTTGGTAAATGTAAAAGTCGAACTTTTAGAAGATTGAAACGGTTTCTTAGATAAGAATTTCAAATTTATTGCATGCAATTTTAACCAAAGCTATTTATCCATATAACTTGAAATTATTGGATTGGCATAGATTTAGGGTTACATGCTATTTGATATATACATATATTAGTGATGTGTAATTCAATAGAAGGTATTTGAAGTATTTGAAGTAGTTTCGAATATAGTGATTGTGATAATGGTGAAGGTTATTTAACGTTTTAGCCATAATTTAACAAACAGCAAATAATTTGAATAGCAGGTGAACATTTTTCAGGAACAGCTTTGTCATTACATAGTTTCTATATTGTTCTATTAAATAACAATATACACATTATCAACATAATTCAATATAAAAATAAGCCTTACTTTAAGTATTAGGCAATCAGATACTTTTACATGGTAAATGTCAGGTAATATCAATTTGCTACTAAACTGGTTACATTCAAGCATCAACTGTCAGTTTTTTTGGTTTACTACTCATTTTCTTGTTAAAACCAATTATGGGAATCCTTTACAAATCACAGACCAATGCCAATATGAAACATATACACTTTTTACATTGAGCTTTGTACACTTCTTATCACTACGCTATATCTTTAGACTATTACATATCTCACTATTAACTGGGTAGTAGATAGAGCGTGAGTTTTCTACTAGCTGAACCATTCAATGTTTCTCTTTCCATAGAGTTTTTTTCATAGTACGCATTTACACTTGTAAAATAATAATCCGAAATCGTTCAGCTATTTAAAATGTTCAAGCTTCCTATAATAATTTCACACGAATCACACTGTTATTGAATATTTTTCATTCCTGGTTATTTTGTCGATTTTGCTGTTGCACCATCACCCACCCATCTGCGGAACCGAGTTGGTTTTGCTGGTTCGCGTTCTCCACTTGCTCTTCGAAAAAGTTCTTCATTAATCGAAGAGCTTCTATTTCTTCTTGCATTTTTCGCAACGATTGCTGTCGTTGTTCTTCGGCGGCCTCCATCTTCAACAATTCGTTTCTTCTTTGGTTGATTAGTACCATTTCTGTTTGCATCTGGAACAAGACAATACATGCTCTTGTTAATAAGATATTTTATTTAAAACCACATATTGTTAATAAGATGTCTAATTCAATTTTACACAAGTTAGTTCTTTTGACCGTATCTTTAAGGATTATCAACTCTATTAAAAATCAATAAACTATCTAAATTAAATAATTTATAAGATGAAATAATGTGTACTCAACATTAATACCCGTATGCGCCGACAGACGGTAATCGGGATTAAGCGTTAAACCGAATTAAAAATCATAAACGATATGCGCGTTTAACTTTAATCCGCCAAGTCCGAGAATTAAGTTCTTTAAACTAGTTTAAGTACATAACATAACATTTGAAATTGAGGGTTTTGTTTTCGTTCTAGCAAGTTCGAGAATTAACTTGGAAGATGAAATAATATTAAATGATATTAATCTTTTCCAAAGCAACTAACTCAGTTCAAATATTTCGATACACTAGACGAAATGTTTTTATAGACTTTTTCGGTTAATAAAACCAGTCGTGCTTAGATGGTTAGAAGAAATTGGCCACCATTACACCATCCAAGTTGGAAACATAGAATGATAAAAATCTAAATAGTTATCCAAAGAATTCGTTTATTTTATGAATAGCAAAATCATTATGAATGAATGAATATTATTCGTGTTAAAACAATTGTAATTATTAATTGTTATAATTGTTATCTTACAGAAATAACAATTTATCACACCTAAGCTAAATTTTAAAAGCTCTTCGTTTTTATGCTTGTATGCTCGTCAAAATTGTATCGCATATTTTATGGGAATTCATCAAACTGTCTCTCGAGCTATTAAGGAAGAATCTAATGCAATCGCAGATTTAAGGACAAAAGATATTAAAATGCCTTAAAGTGAAAATATGTATCTCGCTTTCCAAGGGTTATTGGAGCGTCCTCTATTTTGTCGAAAGCCGTATTTTTCAATGAATACTTAACAAGTTAAAAATTATGTACATTGTTGCCAATAGGTAACTTAAGTATTTTAGAAAACGTCTCTGTACGGCTTCGAGGGCGTTAATGTGGTTAGCCGAGAATGGAGACCATACGATAGATGCATATTCAAGCTTGGATCTAACAGAACTGATAACAAATCCAAGCATCTTTATCGCTGAGTCTGTTAATTGACAAATATGCAAAGCAAAAAATCCATACATGTTGTGAGTCTCAATAACGGGGAGAAACCAATCTTATAATTATATATGTTCGATCATATCACGATTCAAGGAGTAAGACATGACGCTAATTTGGATACATTAAGGGGAGGTCGCATTCTACCATACCATGCAGTTATATCATCAAGAGACCGCTGAAGACGAAGCTAGTCATCAAGAGAGGTTACCCTACAGAATGGCTTCATGTCGTCCAACTATGAAATTATATTAACAGCAACAATGTCATTTATTGTTGTCACAAAGAGCAGCGTGGGCTGACTACAACACTTCACTCTCAGGGATCTGCGTGATAGGTAGGAGCTAATGAACATTGCAGGGCCATGAACAAGACATGATATTAGAGCACCATCCAGCATGATCCAACACATCAAACGCCTGGGAAAAAATCCGTATATATTACATCAACTTGAGATCTACCATTAAATGTATTCAAAATGAATTAAGTAATAAAATTATGTTGGAAACTGTGGATGTGCCTTTAAGAAAACCATGTTGACTTACAGATAATCTGTTCCTGAAGAAATTACAAATAACTGACGCCGGTCTATAATTCTGTAATAAATTATTTGCGCCCTTCTTAAATACCGGCACGCATTCGAGCGGAAGCCAGCATTGAATATTTTGGTCAAAGGGGCTGAAAATAAAATTGCACAATCGCTCAACAAAAACTGTGGGACATGGATTGTTCGGTCCTGCAGTACGGGCAGGTCTCATTCTTCTCAGACAAGATAGGACTTGATTCACGAATCTCCACGATTTCAAAGAGCACATCGTTTCCAGTCGCAGAAACATGAGATGATGTAGGATCTCCGAAAATAAGTAGCAAAAGCATTCACAAGTAGAGAAAGCGAAGAAGAGGAGGAAGCGTCCCCATGCATAACAGTGTCCGGAATCGCATCATAAGTTCTCCTGGAATTGATCTGCTTTCAAAATGCCGCAGGACCCTCAATCCTCTCACAGTAGATCACCTCACTTTAGGTCTTCAAAAACAACAGTTTCTCCTTTACCATTCGAATGAGAGACGAATCAAAACAGGGTGAACCCTCTAACCGTTTTCGGAACAAACCTATCCAGACCATCATACAGCTTGGCATAAAAGGTATTCATCAGACCATCAGCATTTTCATGCCCTTCTAACCCCCAATCAATGCGGGCGAGATAATAATTCAGGCTAGGAAGCTCAGCACGTCGGAAATTATAAAACACGTTGTTTACAATGTTTAACTAATCCACCGCTAAATTTCAACAGTGCATAGCAGCTCGGTCCTTAAACCAGATTAGTTCTTAAACGCGTTTAGTTAATCGGAATTAAAGGGATTGGCGGAGCATATGGCCATAAATCGTTTTCAATTTTCACTATGGCTATTACGCAATAATAATTTTAAAACATGGAAATTTCAAAAATATGCGACACTGACTTCTGCATGAAATTTTGCAAGCCATCCAGCCTGTTTAACTCAGTGGATAAATCATGTTTCCACACATCATGTCTGCGGAAAACTGAAAACAGCAATTTCGGTGAAAACGTCCATCGATAACATAATAAGTTTAAAAATAGAGTTTTTCAAACAAACTGGGAAGCAAAGAAGAATGGCTTGCGCCAATGATTGAACAGCAATTAAAAAAAAAACCATTACACTTTTCATAGACAAAAAACAATTTCGCCCGATCATGGTGAGTGTTTATTTTCATTAATTAACATTATTCCCAAAGAAAAATAAGCGCAAGTTGATGGGCAATAAACAAAAATCGTTCCATCATCAAATAAAATTCCATTCCGATCCGTTAACAAATTAGTTTGTTGTAGGAATTCATTTTAGTTTACGTCAGAAGGCGCCTGAGATTAACGCGAAAAAAGTTTGAGGGTCTGTTAAATATTTACAAAAATTTTACGCTTTACAGATATTTCGAATACATTCCAGGTTTAGAATTTTATCTGCTTTAACTTATCGCAGATGTATAAAGAAAGGTTTTTCTTGATTAAATTGAATTTACATGGTTAATTGTGAGCATGAATCGTAACATAATAATGATCTACTGAAATTATTTATGGGTAAACGTTTCAATCCGACTTTACATAGAGAAACAATTAATTTTAATTAGCGCTTCTAGCCAGTCATTTTCTTTGGTTTTGGAAAGATCACGTTCTAATTAACAAGACTGAATTTTTAAAATAGAGTAAAATACATCGGCTGAGACATGCAATGACACGTTTGGCTTAACTCCGGCTAGGTCAACACGAGATTCCATGTGCCTCCCACTTGAACAAAATTTGGCTCAATAATTGACACCCAAAGTAAACCAGTAGGTAAAATATCGCCAACAACAAGAAATTGCTGTAAATGCCATATTTTCGTTGTGTCCAAATTGATTTTGACGATTGTTTATGCTCTAGTATCCTCTAGGTCGCCCTTTTGCTCTTATCTGTTTCTCAACTGCAATAGTTTACTGAAAAAATAGAAGCGTACTTTTAGGTACTCCTTAGCTAAAGCTTTATGTTCTTCGAATTTCTCCAAAGATCTGGGATCATCCAAGTCGGGCGTGGCTGGCCTTAAGTGAGGATCCAACGTGGTCAGTAGAATGTCGTCATCAATATCTGGACTAGTGTGGGATATTTGGGACGTACTAAAGGTACCGGCTGTAACTGTATTTTGCGAACCTGAAAAGAAAATAATTTTTAGAAACACCACTTGGTCGAGACTCGACATTTTGCACTTCCTGTAACTGAAACTTTTTTGAATTAATTGCTTTTTCCTTAGTTAGGCTGTGCCCTTGTAATACCACGCAATCTACTTTTCACAAATGAATAAAAACTTCGTAAAACTTTATGAAAGCAGGCAGTTTTTATGAGTTTGATCGTATCGTTGAAAGGCAAATACTTTGGCTTGTTATTTAATTTAATATCGTTGTAATTTTTACTGACACAAATTTGACTCGGCATGAACTTATTGAATGAATCATTCAACGCAAACACAAGGAGGTGGGCCAAATAACTGGCAACATACTTTTGATAACTTAATTACAACGAATTTTACGTCGAAATGGCCCTCTAAAATAATATTTTAATTATAGTGCCGACGATTGTGTGTCATTTTGCGAAAATATTCTTGGCATAGTCTTATCGCTTCTCCCATCTAAGACTACATGTTTAATTTTACCGCGCTGTTCCTAACACGCATTTAACATGAAACGCAAACCGTTAATAATTCCTGAAGTACAACTTATGAGGGTCGTTTGATAAGTCAGTGACTTTTTGAATAAAATATTTTTTTTGGCCAAAAAACGTTTTATTTCTCAACATAATCTGCTGTGACAGAGATGTCGATATACTTAGTCCAGCGACTTTCCAATTTTTTTATCCGCTCCAAATAATATAATTTCTCGAGGTCCTCATAATATCCGTTTATTTCAATGATGACCTCTTCATTGGACCCAAATCTCTTACCGCCTAGCCATTTTTTCAGGTGTGGAAACAGGAAATAGTCGCAGTGGTCTAAATCTGGAGAATATGCTGGGTGGTGTAGCAGTTCGAAGCCTTATTCATGAATTTTTACCATGACGACTTCACATGTGTGCACCCGTGCATTGTCCTGATGAAACAGCACTTTTTATTTCGCCAAGTATGGCCGTTTTAGCCAAATCTGTTCAAAAGCTCTGAATAATATGCGTTAGTGATCGTTTTACCCTTTTCAAGGTAATCGATGTGAATGACACATCACCTTGTTGGCCGAAAGAGCCATTTTGGCCTTCTTTGGAGCACGTTCACCTGAAGAAAACCACTGTTTTGATTGTTCTGTGGTCTCTGGTGTCTTGTGATAGATCCACGTTTAGTCAACGCTTACGAAACGGTCGCAAAAACCCGTACAGATTGCGATGGAACATCGCTAAATCTTCATTCTAATGATCACACGAGAGCGCTTATGGTCGAGTGTCAGCAATCGCGGCACCCATCGTGCGGATAGCTTTTTCATATCCAAATATTCATGTAAAATGTGATGTACCCTCTTAGTTGCGATGTTTGCAGCCTCAGCCACCTCACGCACTTTTATTCTCCGTTCGTTCAGTATAGTTCCATGGATTTTATCGACCTTTTCTGGCGTAACAACCTCTTTTAGACGACCAGAACGTCCTGCGTCATTTGTACTTTTTTTGTACGACCACAACGAAACTCAGTAAACCGCATCTTAACCATTGAAATTGATGATGCGGAGTCTCCAATAGTATTTATCAGGCTTTTTCTTCGTTCTTTTGATAATTTTTACGTAAAAAATTAAGCTTGATCAGCACTCAAAATTAACTTTTTTCTATTTTCGTCGAAATTGACGAAGTCAATTCTTTCAATGACTGTTAGACTGTTAGACACGAACTAAATTACGTAGCGTGCTTAAAATTTCACAGCAGTCTACTAACAGACGACAGTTAACGGGAGCAGTGTTAAATTTAAAGGTACTGCGCGGGAAATTCAGTCACTGACTTACCAAAAGACCCTCGTATGTTTTATTTCTTAAGTTTTTATAAGTTGAGAAACAGTTGACTAAGCGCAAGACTCAAATGGTTAAAACAACAATTTGTTTATCTCTAACTTTACCTGGCTATACTACTAAGAATACAACTTGCACTGTGTCATGATAACTTGACGAAAATAACTGAAAATGTTTATTAATCGAGGCGAGGGCGATTTCATTAATACATTTTCTGAACTTTTCATTGTTAACGCACCAACCCACCGTTTTGCCAAAAAACCATCAGTTAATGTTATGACATTTGATTGGTTTAATTTTGTCTAAAACGTAAAAATACATATATGTTTAATGGTCCAATTAGCAGTTCAGGTGGTTTGTTTTTCACAGTTTTCAGTTTTCAGACGTTCGGACACACAAACTCAAACAAAAAAAGGTGTATGCCAAAAACTTATTAATTGTTTGCCGTTCAAATCCAAACAAAATAACCGAAATTCAGTTTGAGTATTTACATTGTTTTGCGTAATATATATTTTTTCTAAAAAATATGCACTCTGAACAGCGTTGTCGAATTCCAATTCGCTATTAATTTTATGACTGCGTTTCAAAGTTGCACGTCAAAAATATTTCACATGGAACACTGTGTTTCAGTGACCTAATTTTGCATTTAAACAGATTCAAATATATCTTGCTTGTTACCGTTCTGAGTCGTTCAGGGTTACTCATTCAGTTCACAGTGATTTATTAGAAAACCGTCAAGTAATTGACCATTCCCGCAGAAAAAAACTATATTTATGCAACAAGCTACTTTACTGATTGCATGGACAGACAACCGCATTAGTTTTTAGCGATTATGAGACTGCTACGTATCTACAAGGTGTTTTATCGTACTTTAAACTAAGAGGAAAGTTCGAAGATGTAATAAAACAGACAAAAATGCTTACAAATTATTATTTATACCTCCAGCTATCATAAAAGGAAAAAACTAAAAAATCGTTTGTTCAATTGGACATATAAAAAAGGAAATTGTATGAATCATCTTGTTACATACCATTGCTGGTTTTACACTCCCTAAATATAATCCAACTCTGATGAGTTTCGTGAGAGGTGAAAACACCCGCCATCGGACAATCACACATTTCTCCAATTTTCCAAATTAGGCACTGTTTTGCGTGTCTATACCCTTACATAGAACGCATATTTCAACTGGAAACACAACGCAAAATATTTGAAAATAAATTACAAAACCACTTGTTTGATTCCCATATAAAAAAGCGAAAGGCAACGAACGCAACTTTTCATTTTTCCGTACGTACAGTTGGCAGATTCGTTTCGCGGATTTCTTAAGAAAACTGTGGACTTTGGCAAGTGATCTGGCAGAGCCTCCGCTATAGTCTTGCCCACGTCATCGTACGCCTGATAAATATAGGAATTGGGATTTCGATGCGGATATCGGAAACATTACTTTTACCAATTTTTTTCTTAATAGTAACAGTGTAATCGGCCGGTGTTTATTTTCCCAGCTCCGAATGGTAGTGGAGTAGGAAAACTTCTGGAAAGCTGCCGCTTTTAATATCCACTAGAAAATTGCGAAAGCGCTACAATAAAACTCAGTTTGTGTGGCTAAATTATTAGATGGCAAAACGTTGTATTGATGATCACAACAAAAGTAGACTGTTTTTTTTCAGAGGCTCAGAAAAAATTTGCACAATTCTTCAAGCATAAACATCTACACACAGGGAAATACGCCAATTTAGAAATATTACATAAAGATACACTAAATACAAATATGTTGACACATAAAGGAAAAATTGAGTTTAAATTTTTTTTTCGAATGTTAGATTTGTTGAATATAGTCGGTTTTCATCAGCTTAGACAAGAAAATTCTAGTTATTATACAGGGTTATTCAGATTATCCGTCACGGCAGATTGCGATTAAACTATTTAATTTTACGGATAAATGGAGGTCCGTAAAAAAAATAAAAAGTATTATTTTGCAGATAAGTGGAGGTCCGTAACCCATACATTTAAAATGTATTTTCTAATGTACAGGGCGTTCCAATTACTAGATTGAACCCAAAGTTGCATTTTTGCAAATGGAATTTAAGTGGATGGATCATTAGTGAATTTTATTAAGGTTTATCATGCTTAAAGCTTACGGTTTCTGAGATATTTGGGGTCTTGTGAAAATGCAGAGTTTAAATGCTCAACACCCATTTTGCATTTCGAATCCAAAGGTAAACCTTGCGTCTAGTAATAGATGCTGTTTCATGCCAAATTAATAAAAATGGAGTACATGATACAGGATGTCCCAAAATTGTGTTGAAACGTTGCACGTTTTGAACGGTAATAACTTGCTTAATTTAAATGGCACACCCTGTATTTTACAATAGAAACAGATGCAGATTTTACTTTCCATTGAATGCTTTAAAGGTATACCTAATTCTTCAGGTTTTCATGGACATCGCATACAATATTATCAAATTTAATAATTCATCGAGTCCTCGTTTTCATTTTCACAAAACTCCAAATATCTCAGAAACCGTAATATGATTAGTTACGATGACGTATGATAAACCTTAATAAAAGTCGCATTTATTTCGATCGCAGACACTAATAACAGAATAATGTACGGAACATTCCATTTAAAAAAATGCAGCTTTGGGTTGAATCAAGTAATTGGGACACCCTGTATATTAGAAAGTAATTTTGAAATTTACCCCGACGGGCCTCCATTTATCCGTAAAATAATACTCTTTTAAAATTAAATAGTTTAGCCGCAATCTTCCGTGTCGTATAGTCTGAATAATCCTGTATATATATTTGTTAATCGGGTGCTGTAAACTTCTAGTTGTCATTGCGGAATAGCCTTAAAATACACACTTTTTATATAGGACCACGCATACCACCACATATTTTGCGAAATATTTCTAGTTTTCACGCAAAATACAAAAATTCCAAATTAGTGCGGTTCTTGAAAAACGCTCTTAGCCTTTAGCTCAAATTGGGAGATTCGATCGACCTCAAAAGTTGCACATTTTTTTTACATACAAACATTACAAACAATGAAATACTAGATTTCACGCAAAATCTCACAATTAATTCGGGTCTTAAAGTGCTTTTAGACTTTGTCTCATATTTTCGGAAGAAAAACTTTTTTACCATTTCTGAAGCTTATTCTATGGTTTTTTTTTGGTCCCGCGATGAAAAAATAATGTTTTCAAATCTTCATTTATCCAATTAAACTAATAGATAATAAAATAAACTTTCTTCAATTTTAATTTATAAATATTTCATTACTATGGCATTACGAGGCGAAGAATTCCATTTGAAATGTAAGACACATAATTATTTGCATGTACAAAATTGATGTTCTTTAAATCTATTTCTATCTAAGGCAAATTTTCTTAAGATTGCCAGAATTATTTTAAATGCAAGTCACAATGTATAAAAGATTTTGATAGAAAATGATTAAAAAATAAAACATACGGAAGAGTACGTAAAAAGTAAAAATTGGATCTTAATTGGCTGAAATCAGCAAGACTTGAACGACCGCAGACTCAAAGCAGGACTTTCTTTTATAACGATTGTCAATATTTTAACAATATATTATTAACAAGAACTAATCAACTGATTAAGACAAACGTAAACAAAATTGCGCGATTTGATTCAAAACATGGTTTTGTAATAGGTAGTAACTGAGCCACTCAGAGGAGGTAATAAAAAAACTGTTCGAAGTATGAGTTCAAATTCGTAAAAAAACTATGTCAATTTTAAGTATACTGATTACTGAACAAGATTACTGAAACAATTAATGCATTTCTAATTACATTATATCTGCAAAAACGTGATTTCTTGTAATAAAGTTTCTTACATAAAATTTGTAGTACTGGGGCTGGATTGAATTGTAGTAGTTTTGTGTAGATCCATTATTCCCTCAAATAGGTTAAGGTCAGTTACCGCAAATGTAAACTGGGGTAAAATAAATAATGTAATAATAAAATATGCTTACATACAAAAAATTATTTTTTGACACAGTTTCTTAATTGTATTTACTTTTCTGACGATCGATCAGTAGTAGCGGCATAGTCTAGAAAATTCCCATTAAACAATGTATATTTATTTTATTGATAATTTACCTATAGTTTCACAAGAATCAATGTGTTTATTATAGTTTAGTAAGTAGGTGTTTATAAGAAGATTCCTCAAACTTAACTGAAGTGATTTGCTAATCAAAAGTCTGTCAAAAACAAGCGGAATTTTGGCTAAAACGATCCTTTCTGAAACTATCACCCTGTAATATAATGCGACGATTTGAAATTTCGACTTTGGAAAAATCATATGCGCTACTAATGTCCGGTAACCTTGTCCATGCTGCCCGTTCGTTCTAAACTGTTTGTTTATTTCTGTCGATATTTCGAAGGATAGGAGCTATTTTTGAAAAATGTTTATCGAAAAATCATGAAACATGACTTGCATAAAGTTGTGATTAATGATTCATTTCCCATTATAAAATGTTACTTTTTGCGGTCTCTGGACTCTTGTCCGGTTTTGCCTTTCAAGTTCGCCGAAAGTATTTTGCCTTGATTATTGGATTTTCTAAATCATTTCCCACAAACGATGAAATTTTCACCATCGAATCAACTGCTGAATTTAAGCGAAAACAAAATAATGTCTCATAGATTTCCTGAAAATGATGCGATGTGTTAAAAGACAAATTCCACGTAATGGCAATTGGCCGCTTTCAGTTTATATACGCGCTCTTTATGAGTCGCATGTGTCTATATAATGTTAAAATACGAAGATTGAAAAATTGATGCAAATTGACCACGAGCAAGTGGGTTGTCAACTCAAAAACTTGTAAAATTTAAATAAAATACCATGAATGATCCAAGCTGGCAAATTATACTTATTTCCAGGTCCTAAAGCAATGGGAGGCTCAGTAAATTGTTAGTGTAAATTTAACTTACATTCAGTTAGAAACTGATTATATTTGCTGGAATAATTAAATTTACAGTCACACTAGACAATTTTCAAACCACGAACCGAACAACTCAGTTTAAACTAGCTATCACACATATTTCTGATATGAAACTGCTTTTAAGTTGCGAAGTTTAGTGGCAGTCGGAGAACACTGTTGGTTTTTTCGAATAATTATAATCGATATCTGCGTTATATAATATTTTAAATACACGAATCGGTTCGCAAAAGGTAACTATTTAAAATTTGTGGCTGATAGTTTCGCGTTAATGGAATTATCATCGAGGAAAGCTACTTTAATTGAATGCCAACTTACATGCCAGACATGCCTGGACATTAAAAATAATTGTATTTTGCTACTATAATTATAATCTTATTTCAGGATTTAGGCTAACATTGTCGAAAATTGATTGTTCCGCAAATCGTGACTAATATTTTTCTATTTTCGTTGAAACCAATTTTTGCTTTGCCCGTCAAGGTTAAGTTACAACAATAAATATAGCGAAACGATTCTGTTTCCGTGATTTTAAAAATTTGGATTTTTTTTTCTAAATTACCTAGAGAAATCGGAATGGCTCCAAAAGTGTTTTTTTGATGAAAATCCTTTAGTTTAAATTAAAATCCAATAGACACAAAAAACAAAATAATCGCTTTTAGCTTTATGTGCGTTAACTAACGAAAAGAGACATGTTTTGCAACTAATACTCCACCAAAATAAATTTGGTTGTAAAAAGAAGACAAAGAAACAATAAATTTAGAGAAATAGATCCATGCCCGCTAAGCTGACTAATCAGCATCCAGAAGCCAGAAGTACGCTAAATAAAAACACTATAAAATTAGAATATCAAACCCAGACAGCTGCACCAGAAAATTATGATTCAAGCGTAGGGAATCCGACGGGATTCGTCGACAAGGAAGATTGTTTCCGACCCGGATTGCGCTCGAGTTGGGATCTTATGAAAAAAACCATTTTCTTGCCGAAAATTACAGGAAATTAAAATCTCATCGTGTCCATTTTGAACATTGACTGATGTTTAATTGATAGCTGCTTCTTAATATCGGAAGAAGATAAAGTTCTAAATCCTGTAAAAGAGCCATGAAAAAAATCTAGCGTTAATTACAGAAGTTTGAGAGATTTTCGCCTGATAAATTACACATCGCAGAGCGGTCTGATGATATTTTCTGAAGACGCCAATGCCTATTTTTAGGGCTGCCGACACTCTTAGTTAACTCGCAGCTTAGAAGCGCTTTTTAAATTATTTTGTTGTTATTTTCGAAAGTAAATACTGCACGCGTTACTAAAGCTCTTATTTTACAGGGCGACCTAAATAACAGCTAATGCTCGGGTGTGACTCATAAATCAGTAAACTCCAGTAAATGTAGACTATTAATAACGATAAGATGTAAACTATTAATAATTAGAAAATTAATTAAATCAAAGTGATGAAATCGAGACCCAATGACCATTTAGAGGAATAATAAATTAAAAAGTTGTTTAAATCAATTAATGCACCAAAGATTAAAGAAGCCCGCAACTATAGAGTGTCCACATTCAACTATAGATCTCAAAGACTCACCCATATTTTCTTTCCACAGGTCAATAAACTCTTAAGATTACCATTGTTTATGTCTCCCGCATCGCCAACCCACACGCAAATACAATACAATAATACTAAGGAGAATCCAAGCCAAGCATATGCACCAATTAGTCTAGGTGAGTCCGATGAGTAATTTATATCCGCTTTTGAACTCAAACAGCAATATCTTTGCAAATCCCGAATTACTTTGGATGCGTTTATTATATCTCTCTCACACTACACGTTGTGGAAAAAAAGGCGCAATCTGTTCCTAGTGTTGAAACCGCATTACTTTCCAATGATTGTGCTTTGCCACAAGCCAAATATTTTAAGAAAACAACACCTGGTTAGTGATTCAGGATGTGGCAAATGTTAGAGGGCAAGAAATATAAATGCCTTGATATCAGATATTCAACGCAGTGTTTTCAGCTTGTGGGATTGAGTAAACTCATGTCGATTGATACGGAATTGCTGGTGTAATGAAGCAAAGAACATAGTTATTAAATGTGGGATTTAAGAACGTTGGATAATTATTGCTAATGTGAAAGCCGCTAGTAAGCCAAACCAGCTTTTCAAATATATGTATGATGTATAATTTGGCCCACAGACAAAAAAAAGTCAAACAAATTGGCAGTTTTTTGGTTTCTTTTTCAATTCGTGTTTTTATTTCCCATATTTCAAAATGTAAATTTTGCGCTTAAAACCTGCAGTGCCATTCTGAGTACTTACCTCTTCTTGGTAAACATTCGTCAAATCCAGGCCGGGGGTTAATAACGTAGTTATCAGTTAAGTCCCAACAGAACTGAAAATAAATTATAATTTATAAAATTTAAATATTTCATAGATACTAAAATCTTAATTTTGCGAGAACAACTTTCATACAACAACAATTTTCATAAATTGCTTAAATTATTTAAAGAATAATTTATATTAATTTTCAATAACAAACAAATATAAGTTAGGAGTGAATTTGAGAAATGCGGCAATTAAAAACACACATTTTCTAAGTACAAACGGGTTTAGCAAAATTTGTTCTAACTGAAGAAAATAGTGTGTCATTTTTATTTCAACTAAATGATGAGCTTTAGAGTGAGAAAAATTAAACGTGGAAAAGTTTTTTTAAATAGTAAAAAAAATTTCGAGAGATGAATCCCATAATTTAAAGAAATCAATGAATTCTTGAATAATCCTTATCTAGATTAATAATTTCATAGATTAATACATATAATCAAAATTTCTACTCGAATCTTTACTTACGGGATCGACTTCCACACTGAGCTGACCCATGTCCCCAGATGGTTGAGGCAAAGTTCTGATCACATTACTACCATTTGTATTAGTTTCTGTGTCAAAAACTTCTTCAATTTCGTCCTTCGAATATTCGTCGTCCTCCCAGTTGTGCTCACCTGGTTGAATGGGTTCATCTGCCCCAGGCAAGATGGAACATATCTGCTCCATTTTAGCAACAATCTGGAAAAAATCATTTTAGATTAACTGCAAATAACAAACAAGAAAACATTTAGATGCTTTTTCAACAGAAAATTATGAAACTTTTATCATTTGTTTTATTTATTTGATTTACAACAAGTAATAAATTACTGGCATAATCAATATTTGAGTGAACAAAGAGGATTTTTTTACTTTTTACATTTTTCTTAATGAAAACATTTGTGTCGTGAATGCATTGAAGTGCCAATTGAAAGCAAAATATCTTTCTTTGAGCTCTTACAATTGTGTACGAGGTTTCCAAAATAACCATAATCCAAAATGTTAATATTCCTAAACTTATTTAATTTAAGAATGAAATAAACGCACAATTAGCTAAGTTTACTCACTTCTTCCATGCTGGGTCTCTTTTCGGGATCATGGTCCCAGCTTTGAGTCATCAACTGTTCAATGCAGGCGGGACATCGGCGAATTAATGGTGGTCGCTTGCCTTTATAAACAGCCCACATTATGGAGAAGGCTGAACTAGCCTGGGTGTAAAACGGTTTTTTCCTTGACAGCACTTCCCATAAGATGATGCCCCAACTGAAGATATCGCACTTTTCCGTATATCGGGATGATGTGAAAACCTATACATAAATAGAATAATGTTCTTAGAATCATCGCATATTTTGCTTGAGAGAGAATTTGCAAATATTGCGCGGTTTTTAAAGTTATGTTATTTAAACACTTCTTAACCCTGAACTTTTTCCTTTACTTTTTTAATATTTAAAAAATTGGAAACTTTTTGATACGGTCACCAATGAAAAAAAATTGCCCTTTTAATTGCAAAATATATTTGCAATAAATATGTCACCGATGCTTGCAAGTAGCCCATTATAATTAAGTATGTGAGTAATGACCTACTTCCGGAGCCATCCAAGCTGCAGATCCTTTGTTATTCGTCATGTAGGTGTTCTTATCGGCTGCTGTTCCAAAATCACAAATTTTCAAGTGGGTTCCACCATTGATCAGTAGAAGGTTGGGAGGCTTCAGGTCTCTATGAATGAGCGGCTTGGGTTTCATAGCATGAAGATATTCAACTCCCTGAAGAATAAAATATCATTGGAATGAAGTATGGAAACGAAAATGTTTGTAGAGCTGTTTATGAATCCACGGTAAAACATGTGCTAAGAGGGAACTTATGTACCTAAAACTAATGTGAGCTGACTCCACATTGTCGTTGAGTGATTAAAATATAACTGACTGAATGGTACCAACTGTACTTGCCAATAGATACTATAAACCTCTTACATTTTTGTCGTATTTTAAAAACTTACTACTTACCTTTGCACATTGATAGGCCCATGACATAGCATGAGCTATGGAATAGCCTAGCGGAGATTTGTGCAATACATTGAATAGAGAACCACCTTCAGCGTACTCCATCACAAGGAAAAACTTGAGCCCTGTGCTGGCCCCATATAGTTTTACAATGTTCTCATGGTCGACTCGGGAAAGTTGCCTTACTTCCACTAAAAATGCCTGTTTTTCGGCATCCCTGGTAATATTTTTTATGGCGACCAATTTGCCCTGCCATATTCCTTTGTATACTACGCCAAAACTGCCTTCTCCAATTGTCTAAGGATAGACATAAAAGCTCAATATCGAGTTTACATGAAAGGTGTTCCAACGATGATCATAATGAGCAATAATCGTTTAAAATGGACATGTTTACAAATAATTTATCAAATTCAAATTAAAAATACCTCAAGTTTCCTAACTTCATCTGGATCAATTTCTCTTGTATTGTGCTGGTGCTCACTATCGAATGATTCGTCAGTCGCCATTGAATTTCATTTACTCACATATTTGTTGCAAAAATAAGGAAAAATTATCAATGGGGATGAACTAACTAAAAGGGTAAATATTTATACACTGCCTTTAAATTTAGGTTAAATTTATTGACAGTGTCACCAGTCAGCAGTCAGGGATCAACATATAAAACATAAATTACAATTATTTTTAATTTTGTTGGTATTGGGCTTATGAATTTTTAATTTTTGTAACTTATAAGGAGTTGCTGGATTATTTACCTGTAAAATAGACCAATAAAAAAAATTACATATGTTTAACGCATATCGTATAACAGCCTCTGTGCCGCATTGCCACATTTATTATACAGATGTCAGTAAGCCGCACAGGTTATAGCACTATAAAAATACAGCAGACTCGTCCGCCATTGTGGAGCCCAATTTCTGACCTTCCTCATGTATTTGTAATATGGTGCTATTGAGTTTCCTTTTAATTTCGAAAATATGACTAGTTGTTTAAGTCCCAACTGCAGCAATCATTCAAGAAATGATTTTAAATTTTGTAGATATGTATTATGTTGATAGAAAGTCTCAATTTAGTATAAAAATCTAATTTATTTTAAGATTATTATTGTGATGACTTACATATTTAAAATTACTTAATTACTTTAAAACATATATGTATATCGGTTGATTGGCTTTAGAATCAATCGTATCGGACTGTTAATAACAATGGTCTTTAGAACAATTAAAACAATTCAAAAATGATCGAGTTATATATTTACACATG